GTCTTAATATTCACCCGTGAAGCTAAAGCGGCAAGCCCCCCGGCGCGTGGGTCTGTCCAGCCCCACTCACATGCACCGAAGAGGGAGAAGATCAATGCATGATATGCTTGAAACCTACTGCAAATTGTTAAGTATCCTCGTGTGATAAAAGCGACAAATGTACACGCATGCTTCTGTCTTGTTAATTCGAGAACTTCGCCATCTACCATCGCCGCCTTCCAGTGTCGCCCTGAAGCTCCGGTCTTCGGCCTCATCGTCCGCTCAACTTCTGCGTCTTGTCGCGTTAGTCTATTCTTCGCTGGATGGGTAGATAGCTGGGTCCTCCCATGCCTCCTTCTGGTAGGAAGTCGGGTGGGAAGGGGCGTAAGAAAAACGCCGAGTTTGGCCTTGCTGTCGTCCACCACTGTCTTCGTAAACAGGCGGAGAAAGCCCAGAGTCACCATGCTTTTGTCCAGTCTTTGAAGCAGGAGGGGGAGAGGGGGCGATCCACGCTCGCATCTCCCCCCGCTGGGGTTGCTCTTGGAAACACTATTTCCCGNAGGGGGAGAGGGGGCGATCCACGCTCGCATCTCCCCCCGCTGGGGTTGCTCTTGGAAACACTATTTCCCGCCACCGCACTTTAGAGTTCCTTGCAGGTACACTGTCTGGGTCAAATCCAGAAAAAGGGAGATCCCTGTCGAAGCATCCAGAGCAGTACTTGCGGTCTATCATAGAACGCAGCGGGCTAGATGAGTACATCAGCACGTCGCTTGCAGCGCAGGACAGCTTTTCCGTCGACAGATACGCGGCGCGTCTTCTGCAGGAGCCAACTGCTCCTCTCATAGTTTCGAAAACTTCGACTGAAGGCACTGCGACAAGAGCAGCGTATTACATAGAGGGGACCGAAGTACCCATCCCTCGGCGACCCGTTTTGTTTTCACGCCGGATGGCAGAAGAATGCAAAAATGCAGTTAGCAAAGACCGCACAACGGGAGGCGTCACGCAAGCGACGCGGAGCCGTAGGCGGAGAAACAGGGCTCGAGTAAAGCTGCTCCTAGCAGGGAAGATGGAAGAGGCCACTATTCAGAACATCCAATTCGTGCGACAACAACGGGATGCACTTCACCGTCGGTTTCAGAAAGCCAGGGAGGCAAAGTCCCGTCGACGGCAGAGCCGCCTGGCAATGCACGAAGGAGCGTCAGCAGTGCGGCTTGGAACCGAAGATGCGGACACCGGCTCAGAGGATCAGTGGGAGGTTGACTCCGCCGCGACTGTCACTGAAGAAGGCGAGAGGGGAGAGTTGGAGGAAGGAGCGTCTGACCCTTCTGAACCCGATCGAGATGACGTATCCAGCGCCACAGATCCTTCCTCCAGCATCTCTGTGACATCCGAAGAAGAAGACCCTGCTGCAAATCCTTCGCCTTCTCATCCTACAGCGCCGCGAATCCCGAAAACAGCTGCAGAGTTGGATGAAGTTGAACGGGACGGATTTCTGAAGTGGAGACGGATGCTAGCGAATATGGAAGAGGAAGGCGTCGTCTTAACTCCCTACGAAAGGAACATCGAGGTGTGGAGACAGCTGTGGCGTGTCATTGAACGTTCAGATTTGGTCCTGCAAATCGTTGATGGAAGATCTCCAATGTTCTTCCGCTGCAAAGACCTCGAAAAGTATATCAAGGAAGTCTCTGCTAACAAACGTGTATGTCTTATTTGTGCGTGTATATGCAACAAGCACTCGCCTAGATCGACTCTGAACTCAGCATTCAGCACCGGCTACCCAGTGGTCACGACGCTGAGACAGTGGTGCTAATTCTCCCTGACAGGAGAAAAATAGTGTTTGTGAGATGCTGATTTCTCAGGTCATTTTGGTCGTCAACAAATCGGATCTTCTGCCGCCNAAAATAGTGTTTGTGAGATGCTGATTTCTCAGGTCATTTTGGTCGTCAACAAATCGGATCTTCTGCCGCCAGTGGTGCGGGAGAAATGGTCGCAATACTTTGCAGAAAATGGAGTGGAGGCGGTTTTCTTTTCGGCCCTTCGTGAACTCGAGCAGTGCGAACAAACAACTCAAGAGCATTTTCCAGGCAGCGCGCACCGCGATAGGGAAAAAGAGAATCAGCTGAAGAGGGACGACGGGGATCCAGTGCAAAAGGCAGATGAAGCAGCAACGGAGCCGACGTCTGTGCTTCACGTTCCAGGGGGGGAAACGGCAGCAGATCTCCACAAGGATGTTATTACCTGCGATTCGTTGGTGAAACTCTTGTTAAAATATCGAGATGAATTCTTCTCGAAACGACGCCTAGATGAAGATACGGAGCCTTCCGAGGATTTCGTAGTTGGGATGGTTGGATACCCTAATGTGGGCAAAAGCTCTCTGATAAATGCGTTGTTGTGCATGAAGAAAGTTTCCGTATCGCAGCAGCCCGGCAAAACGCGCAGACTACAGACGATTCCCCTTAAGGGTAGAGGCATCGTCCTCTGCGACTGTCCAGGTGAGTATTGCAGTCCCTATAGGAAGCCGCCGTGGAGTTGCAACATTTTACGTCCCTTCATCGATATTATACTTTAAATGGATTGCGTCAAATGCGCCTGTCTTTGCAGGCCTCGTGTTCCCAAAGGCAGTTGCATCTAAGCACCTTCTAGTGTTGAATGGCGTTGTTCCCGTCGACGAGATGCGGTAAGGCAGACGCATCATCCCCCTGCCCCTCCCCTTTTTGTCCTCTGCCACTATTTGCACTCATCCCATGAATTGTCTAGAGGTTCTAGGAGTCAGTTGCCACCGTCACAAATATATTGATGCTTACAGACGGTGCATACGCACGCTGAGTTGGAGAGGCAACTGTGCTGACTAGCTTCTTCAAAGCTCCTCCAATTTCTCCTTGCTGAACCCGTGCTCCTACATGCGGTATTTGTGATTTGTTGCCATCTTTCCCTTTCAGTGGAGATTACCTCCCGTCTGTGCAGTTAATATGCGACGCGATTCCTTACACTTTAATCCGACACTACGGGATAACAGCAGACGCCTACCGTGCCGCATACAATTGTTCTCAATATAACGTGGGAAAAGAGGGACACCGAAGAACAAATGCTCTAATGGGGCGTCTTGAGCGTATCGAGGCTTTGCACGTGCTCGCGGCAGTAGCCACTCATCGTCACTTTGTCTCGGGAGGAAAAGGAGGACAGCTGGATTTGTATCGCGCGGCGAAGCTAATTTTGAGGGACTTCACGACTGGCCGACTCCGGCGGTGTCACTTACCCGGGGGGACTGTTTACGGCAAAGACGAAGAGATTGCCAATATAGATATGTTTCTGGCGGCAGTTTGGACCTCCGTAGAAACGCGGATCGCAGGAGCAGATACTTCAAAGGTAGCCCCATGCTCAGCTGAACCAGGTAGAGATAAGAGGAAAAGTGGCAAAGAGAGAAGCCAGCACCCTCAAATGAACCCGGTGGATGTTTTGCATGAACTCGAACAGGACGCAGACCTGCTGGATGTTCTTGGAAGTGGAGGGAATTCTCAGGTAGGCAAAGATAGCTGGTAAATTNCTAAGTATTTTCTTTCAGAGCCATGCTTTTCATGTTTTCAGACCGTTGGAGGCAATGCTCCATGTGCAATGACCAAGCGGAAGGCTCGTCAAATACAAAAGCAGATTTTGAAGGGGAAAGGCAGAAGTAGCTTAGGCGGACTTCCCCACCGTCTCTGACTTAATGCCTGGGTATATATTGTTATGCGTATCAATTGACGAATTCTCCTTGAGCTGATACGCGTTGACCTGTTCGGAGGAAGTGCATTTAAAACTCAAACGATTATTTTGCTGCACGCTGGCTCAAGGGAACCCAAACAGGAATAGTCGGAGCGTTTCATTTGTAAACTTGCATTTTCCAGTGAACTCGCTAGTGTTGTCCGGGACATTCCTTCGCTGTCCATTTGAGGGCGGTGCACTGCACTTCTGGCTTCAATGACGCGAGACTGTGGACATTTTAACAGTGCATCCGGTTTCAATTTTGTTCATTTTAACTGTCCACGTCGCGCAGCGACTGCCGCAGGTACTGGCAATCACATCCGTAGCCCAGCTTGGGCAGCGAAGCGATAAGAGACAAGTGAACGGTGCCCCATCTTAGCAGTGATCTCGAGATTTGCAGTACGACGCTGTAAGAACAGTGTTGCAGAGTGTATACTATCGGATTCCCTTAAACTACCAGCCAAAAAATAAATTGCTTAATAAAATGTTATTGAAAAAGGTCCTCGATCTGCCGCTTTTAGGACGGTAGACACGTTGTTTGGGCTGCGAAATTCTTTCGCGTTATCGCCCCAAATGGCTTGAATAGAATAAATCATTATACATACGTATATATATATATATATATATATATATATATATATATATATATATATATATATATATATATATATATATACGCAGATATTTATATTAATATTTAAATATACATGCAGGTCTAGGCATTTACGCATGTCGAGTCAGAAGGGCCTTGAAGTCTTCATAAAGGTCAGCATTTGCCTCTCCTGCTCGCAGAAATGAGAGGAAAACCAACACGCTTCGAAGTGAGCACTGATTTAACTTACTCGATTTAGGCACACCATCTTGTTGGTGTGTGTCTTCCCTCTTTTACTGTTTCCATAATTAAGGAGCCAATAGCAAGCACTACGAAACAGCTGAAGCTGACTCACCAAAAAGGCGCTCAGCGGTTTTAAGGGTTTCCTCTCTGTCTTGCTGTTGATTGTTAAGCCTCTTTATGCTGGCCAGGAAGGCATTGAAAGTTTCGAAAGAAAGACGACTGCGTGCGGCTCTGAGACGGTCACAAAGTCACAGCTGCAGACTTGCTTGATGGCAAACCTATCGACATGTCTTGAACTACAAGCTCCTTGACGCCGCTGATGTTGCATTGCTGCTGTTACTTGCTTGTGTATTTTGCTTACCTAAAGAAAGCGCGACCGTCGGCATTGGCAGATGGGTCGTCATGCGTCGTCAGACTGCGGCGGCGAAGAAGACAGGCAAACAGGCACAATGAACAGCCCTCCTATAGAAGTTCCTTATGACTGTGCAACACTATTCCACGTGCTCTGTGCAACTGAAAGTTTCAGAGCCTTTTGAGAGAAACGAGAATGGACCTGTCTTGTTCTGAGAGCAAGTGGAGTATGTCTGTGCTAATCTAAACCCAACCCCCCTAATTCCGAGTCGTCAGGCGCACGAAGCTCACTCTTCTATAGTAATCTAATTAATTTATGAGTTCGTTTTTCTTCCTT